CCCCCCCCCCCCGGGGCCACGAGCATCCCCCCCACGGGCCACGAGCATCCCCCCCATGGGGCACGAGCATCCCTCCACGGGGCAACAAGCATCCCCCTGCAGGCCAAGAGCATTCTCCCCACGGGCCACGAGCATCCCCCCACGGGACCAGCCCCCTCCTGCACACAGGAGCCCCCAGCCCACCCCGCAGCAACCCAACCTCAGCAGCAAGAGCTCAGGGAAGGAACCCGAGGCTCTTGCACTGGCTTTCCACTGCCGAAGCCTTCGGGGACATGTTTCCAGGCACCCGCAGTGGCTGCCACCTTGCTCTTGCAGCTTAAATGCAGAGGTTTTCCCTAGACAACAGTGGGCTATGGGGCGAACCCCACCAATGGCACAAGACCCATCATACATCATGATAGGGGTCTACAGAGAACTTGCCCCTGACCCCAGGGAAACACCTCTCACTGTTTTTAGTGTAAGCAGATGACAAGGAGCAATGGGCTCAAGCGGCAGCGAGGGAAGTAAAATGCAGATTATTGGGGGTGTTTTTTTGTGTAAAAAAAAGAGTAATTCTTGCTTCAAGCAAAGCCTCAGCTGCCAGATTCGTTCTAGTACGGTAAGCCAGGCGTGCGTGTGTTTTATTGGTGCCTTGTTAGAAGCTTTATCCATATGATCTGATGCACGCAGGTCGTCAGTGGAATATCCCTTAGTGACTCCAGCCAGAACCTGCAGCATCACAATTAGCTGGTCTTTGTCCTTCTGCGTGCTGAGCTCTCGCACAACTCAGCGTTTAGTGGGCTCCAAAGGGAATTCATCTCCCCTCTCTCACTCAAGCACACAACTGCTACCGGGGTGGCGGGGAGCAGTTGCATGTTATCCTTGAGTAGGAAGAGCAAAGACAAGGCCTGTAAAAACGAGGGCAGGTTGAACCCATGAAAGTGGGGAGAGGGAAGTGGAAATGAAGCTCTACAAAAATAATAAAGGATGCTTTAAGCTCTTGGTCAGTAGCTCGGTAGCTGAGGCGGCTAGGATGGATATCAGAGGGGCTCATGTGCCATGATACTCATGAAAGAAGAGGGAATTTGGCCTGTTGGGGGTGCACCCTGCTCCGCTGCCACCCTTTGAGGCCCCAGCCCCTGATTTACAAGATCAGCCCCCCGTGTTGGGAGGTGCGAGTGCCCAGGTGTTGAGTGCACCCAAGCTCAAGCTCGTAGCAGGAGAAATTCTAATGCAAACTTTAACTGGCGCGTTGCCATCCATCTGCCCCGGCCGAGATACAGGCCAGGCACTAACTGCATTGTAATGTGGGTGTATTGAAATTCCCACTCCTCCACCCCACTTTTTCCATTTTTTGCCTTTCACTCCGCAGTTTTGTTTGCAGATGCCTGTCAAGTAGCAGGCAGCTGCTCTGCGTTGGCTACAAACACAGCAGGGCACGATTTCAATCCCAATAAACCCGTCTCCCCGATCCTTCTTCCTTTCACAAAAAACTTCACGGTTGCTTTTGAACACCAGCTTTCGTTTGGTTAAGCCACAGCTACATGTTTGGCCTAGTCTCTGCTTTTCACTGTTTCTACTACGGCGAAAGCAGAAAACCTGTATTTTTTTGCCATAGGGAAACATTCAGGATTGACGCAGCTAGGGACCGTTTGCAGAGCGGACTCGTTCAATACGCTGCAGGTCCTCCCTGGGAGCCAACACGCAGTCCCGTTTTGCAGCTCAGGGATGAAATCCGAGTCACTGATTCCTGTTTCCACACCCTTAATTAATTAAGCTACAAGCTGGGTAAATGCTGTCACTCTTGTGGTCCAAACAGCAGAGAAAGATTCAGCTCTGCTGGGCAAGGATTTTAGTCCTTCCTCTGCTAATTACTCAGCCACAAACACCCCACGATGGGCTCCCCCTAAACAGGTTCAGGTGCCCTTGCCTTGCAGAGAAAGGGTCTTCAATGCTATCTTTAAGGCAGGATGAGTGGCTCACTGTAGTGTTTGGTCTCATTTTCCCCCTGTTGGGTACAGGGCTGGGGGCTGAGACAGCATTACGGGAGGCCTGTACAATCGGTTAGGCTTGGTTATGCTCTCCCCTGTGCAAAGCCTTGCCAGGTACGTGATCCTAGAATCAACGACCTCTGATTCATACCCTTTTCCCTTCTGACTAAAGGCCTAACAAATGGCATTCAGGGACGGCTTATTTTCCCATCTTAGTTTGGTGCATGGGGCTGGCCCTGGCAGGCATCAAATCTACAAGGATCTGCTCTTGAGCATCAGCAGATGGGCATTATGGACACTTACAGGCCAAAAACTTGATCCCAAATCTTTCCTGAAATCAGCTTGGGTTCATCTTTGGCTTTGTCCCCTTTTGCTGGATCAGAAGCTGCTGCAGCCTCGTGAAAATAGCTCTTCCCATGGGATTCCCATCACTCAAGACACTGAAACCCTTGTAAATTCATCTGATGACAGTGATGACCGGCTCACAACTGGCTGAGTTCAAGTCCAAGAGGTCATGGCTGCATTCCCCATGGATCTTGGAGTTGGCGGATTACGGAGCTAGCGTGGGTAGGTCCAATGGCACTACACCATGCTGCGTGGATGTCCTCTGAAAACCTCATGACATGTCCACCCTTTAGAGCCAGGTTGGTGCCAGCGATCCTATCCTGCCACTTCCTCCAGGGTTATGATGCCTGGAGCAGCTCTGACCTCACCCTTGGGTCCTCACCAAAGGACCTTCCTGGGAACTGCACCTGCATGGTCCAGATGACACTTGGATGAATTTTGTGCTATACAGATGAGAGAAGTGCTCAGTGTTTTGAAGTCAAATGCACCCTTGTTATTTTTCTACTGCTGTTCCCAAATCTCCCTCTCCGTTAAACATTTGCTGGGCAGGAGGATGTGATGGCCAATAAAGCCAAGCCTCGGGAATTCACCTCTGAAAATCCACACAGCTGAAATCAGTGCTGCACAGCATTTTATTAATATATTGTATGTTCTCTATTAGGTCATAAATAACCTAAGTAACTTGCAAGGCAAAATTACCGGCACTGCAGCGCTAAGGAACATATATAATCACAGCACACTTCTGCATATGAACAGCTCAGTTCTGCAGCCCCTGAAGTCGCGAGGAGTCTCCCCCAAAAGGGCGGGGAGATCGGCTTCTAAATGACTTTACTGCTCTCCAGCTTGGGAGCAGTTTACTTGCTAATTATAAACTCTCCCCTAATTGTGGAGAGGCCAGAGCCTTATTTACATGAAGGCATCGTTACGGCTGCATTGAAGCTTTATGAAGCCCTGGCACCCACTGGAAGTTCCCTTTACGCTGCCAGAGCAACATAAAGCAGCCGCGGCATAAATGAAAATCAGGCCCCAGAGGTCTTCTCTCCCTGCAGTGCAGACGTATCGCTCCCATTACGCATTTGCATGAAGGGGCTGCAACCCTCCATAAAACATGATCGCAAACTTCCAATGCATTAGAGACAAGCTGGACTCAGCACATGCAGGAGGCTTCTGCTGAGAAGCTGGGGACTGAAGTATGGCACCATAAAAATTTACAGCTGCCCTGGATACAAGGTTGGAAGGGCCCTCATGTTTCACAGGGTGGGGGGTGGCGAAGCTGTGAATTCAGGGGCGCTGCCATTGTGTGGGATCAGCCTCCAAGAAAAGCACAGGCATCATAAGAAAGTCGGGCTGGAAGGGATCTTGCAAGGTCATTTAGTCCAGCCTTTATTCATTTGAACAGAAAGCCGGGGAGGAAGGTGTGCTATTTGGGCAGGGCTGAGTTGAGGGGAAAGATATCAGAAGTGGGGATGAGCTGCTGCTGGACAGGGCTTGGGGCATTGGGGATCTGGGCTCCATTTGGTAAGGGAGGGAAGACGTGAGCACTGTGTCGGAGGGCTGATGGTTTTACCAGCCTGTGTTTAAGAAGGTCTTCGAAGCGTGCAGGGCAGAATGGGAATGGACACACATTTCTTGCAGCATTTAGACAGAAGTCTGCACGCCGTGAGACCTGATCTTGAGCAGCCTGGACAGACCCCATCATTCAAAGGGGCAGGCTCGGGTCCTCTGGATCTTGCTGTCCTTTCCCTTCTCCCCACCTGCCTCTGCACCTCCCTTGACCTTGACTGGCCGGTGTTGCAGCAAGCTACAGGTGGGTGCAAGTCCTCCCTCCTCTCTGAGGTCTGCAAGCCCCTTTTAGATGCTCTGAGAATCAGTCACTTATTATTCAGAAGCCACCTATAAATGGACTAGGTAGTCCCAGTGAAACCAAGCCCATTTTTACCCTCCCAACCCTCTGTATTGCACAGGGTCATCACTTCGACTACGTTAGGAAGCCATACACATGCAGAGGGCTCAAAAGGAGCAGGGCTTTATAACAATCACTGCAACGGAAACCTGAGCCAGACTTCCCACCGCCAAAGCTGTGCCTCGAAGTCAGACACTTAAGGCTGTGTATCCCACAAGGGCTAGGGATGGGTGCTGGTATCCTTTTCCCTTCTTCATTTCTGTAGCCCCAATGGCCTGTGAGTTACTGGACCTTTACTAGCCCACTTTGGACTGGCTGGTACCTATCCCCAGCCTGGGATCAGTGCCATTGGGAAGGGAATTTGGACACAGGGGAGGAAGAAGGGAACATTTTCCTGGGCTCCATCATCCATATTACAGCATCTCATACAGATATGTCCACCCCTTTGAGTCATACATGCATAATTCAGGCTCAGCTCTATGCCCTCAATCTACATCATGAATGAGGGTGAAAAGTATCTCTGAATCTGCACTGAGCTGCACTAAGCCCACACGGTCGTACTCTGACCTGTATGGCCACGTGCCACGCTGCAGTACAACAGGTGGCTTCGTGGCGTGCTCATGTGGCAGAGGCCTGCCGACTGCCCCTGCTAAAAATGTCACTTGCCTGACGCAGCCTTTATCCTAACTGGTGCTTTTCTATGTGAGGACTCATTGGGCCCTGCAAACATCAATCATGGATATCCCCATGCCACAGATGGGAAGCTTGAGGTAATGCATGGAAGTCATGAGGCCAAGAGTACATCAAGAGGGGGAGTCGGAGAAGCTGGGACTACTGCCCAGGATTTCTTGGCTTCCAGTCCTGTGCTAAAAGGAGCCGGGGAGGTAGAGGGAGTGAGGCACCTTGCTACAGCTCCAGAGGTGTGAGATGCAGGCCAAAAGGATGCCCAAAGGACCGAGCCATCCCTGGGTACCTGGTCAGCAGAGCAGCCCAGCGGTGATGCTTGCATGCTGCTGGCTCCATACCCCTGCCATACCCCTACCCCACTAGCCCAATGGGTGTGACAGTGCCTGCCAGTCTGTCTGCCCGGCTCTCTCACCTGGTATCTGTCCGAGTGGTGGATATCGTCCGAGGAGTGAGGTGATGCTGTCGGAGAGTCCCCTTCCCGCTTGATGGAGGCCGACAACAGGATGGACTGCAAGAGAAAGGGAGCAAAGGAGACGTTTACCCTGTGAGCAGTGCGGTGCTCCCCTGCATCCACTGGAAGTGTCTGCTCTCTGGTCAATAAATGGGGCTAGAAACCCAGCAAGTGGGCGACGGCCTGAACTGAGGGTGGTGGTTTGGCCTCTTGGCGTGCAAAGTGTACGTGCCACACACAAAGGCTGGGGGTAGGACTGAGGCAGCCCTGGCAGGAAGCTGCTTTTGCTCACACCCCAGCCCTGGCCCTTCATGCAGCTGCCAGTGCACCCTAAGGAAGGGCTGGAATCCCCCACCCAAACAAGGAGCATCGTAACCCGGCTTCCCATGCTCTCCGGTCATCCCAGGGCATGCCAGTGTAAGAGGTGTTGCATGGGAGGACAGAAAGGTGCATAGTCTAAGTTGATTCAGCAGGGGAGAAACCCTGCACTGCATCGTCTCTCTCATAACCCCGATTGACGTTCTGCGTACAGAGCACGCGCCAAAGCGTGCAGTGAGGTTACATCCAGGCTCTTAGTCCAAGGTCAGGAAGCATAAGTGCAGCCTCCTCTGACAGGGGAAGAGAGATTTGATGTTGGGATCACACACACATCCTGGAGAATTTATCCGGGGTTTAGTAACGTGCACAGCACATGCGTGCTGCCTCAGAGATGCCACACAACACCTGTGAAACATGTGCACACAAAACCCCATGCCAGAAACCACTCCTGGCATATGGCAAAGGACGGCAGAGCAATGCGAAGCGACAGGAAGGAGCACTGTCCGCCAGCACCCTCACAAACGAGCCCCACCGCGAGCTGTAACTGCTTCATCATTAGCAACTGGGAAGCATCGTTAGCTTCTTCTTCCATCTACTTCATCATTAGCAACTGGGAAAAACTCAGAGGTGCCCTTTTAAGCGGGATTAGCTGAAAACCATCATTTTTAAGGCTCATTAACGGTGCATGTCCACACATGCATGCCCTTAATGTGCCTTAAAAATGGTAGTTTTAGGCTAATCCCACCTAAATTGAATACCTGCTTAAAGCAAGTACCAAATTTAAGTTGGCATAGTTAAGTCACATTAGCCCACGTGTAGACACTTAATGAGCATTAATACAGCCACACATACACTAATGAGACTTAATTATGCCATCCTAAATTTTATAAGCTTTAATGTGCATTAGCAAGTCTACATCTAGATGCACGCCTAAGTCATCTTAACGCGCTTTAAACAAAGGCACATTAAGTTTAGGCGTGTGTAACTGCACGTGTAGACACACCCGATGTGACCTCCTGAAGTCCCTGCCAACCCTCATTTTCTAAGTCAGAAACATGCTGATAACCTTCACATCATCTGGGGAGGGGGGTTGTCTAAATTCTCTGCACTACAAAGTTTTATGGGAGATTACCAGAAGAGGCTGACAATAGAGAGATGAACTGAACCTTTTTATTAGGAGAGAGGAGGGAAAAAAAAAACACCCTACGACAAATACACAGCAGTTCAACTTCTGCAGACAAGAGACGGTGAAAAGAAGCTAACTGCAAAAATAAATACACACTGTAAATATGACTCTCCGGCTCTTTGTTTCGGAGGACGTCGGCTGGAACAACCATAAATGACACAAATGCCTGTGAAGGGAAGCCAGGCTATCATCTGAATTGGACAGGTCAAGTGCGGTCGCAGCACTATTAAAAGATGTAATGCTTTGGAGAAAGAGGAACTTTCTGGAAACGTTTGCCTCCGGGCTGAGGTGAAACATGGAAAAATGTGCTTTTGGGGGGGCGTTTTGGAAAGGTCTGAGCAGTGGGAAGCCGCCCGTAGCACGGACTGTCAGCAAGTAACGGGGCCCTGGGAACTGGGCTGGGAGCAAGGCAGGCGAGGACCCGCCGGGGTCGCAGTGGGGTGCTGGGCCCATGGTGCTGAGCTGGGACTGGGATCCCAGCCTGATGCTTGGGGCACAATGGCCTCTGGAAGCGAAAACGAGCTGACTGCGCCTGCTTCGCCCTGGAAGTTTGCAAGCTGCACGGGGCAGGGGTTGCTGCTCCCTTTGTGCCCATGCGATGCCCAGCACGAGGAGGAGGCGACTGGCATTGCTGGAATCCAGGTTTTTTGGGTTGAAATCTCATGTCGGGGGCCAAATCGGTTCTGACTTCTATCGCCGGAGCACGGCTCAATCGCTCCGGGCTGTGTGGCGCTACCACCGGCACGTCTCCTCCTCCCAGACCCATCAGCCTGGGGCTTCAGATACTCCCCACATCCACGGCAGCATCCTGCATGCAAGATGCTGCCTGGTCTCGCTTGCCCCCAAACCAAAGGAGTGAGCTACAGGGAAAGCCCCGTCGCCTTGAGGGACTTGGTGCAGTTAGCAGGTGAAAGCCTGGCCCTTGCGCTGCAGGCAGGCTGACCCCTGCCAGAGTCTGCAAATGCCTCTGAGGGTGAGGATCTCGGCCGCAGCAGAGCTTCGACCCTGCCCTGCGGGACCTGCACCCAGGCTGGGAGCGAGCACAGCCTTGCCTGCCTCGGCAAGGGGCTGCACGGGGTGAAGACGATGGATTTTTGCAGGGCTCCTTAGCAGACCTGCCTGAACCCTGGGACAAGAGCAAGGAGGGATTTGAAAAGCCCAGCCCTGACCCGGCACCGTCTGAGCTCGCTCTTGCACCTGAGCTCAGAGGGACGTCCCGGCGCGGGGGGGTTAAAGACATTTCCTCTTCCAATTTATTCAACAGGAGGGGGGAAAAACCCAGACGTCTTCCCCTGCCTCAGTGACAGACGGACTGACAGACCCGCTCGGCTCCCCCCGCCCCGGAGCTGCCGGCCGCTCTCATCCAATACGATTATGTGAAAAATGGCTGGGCGAGCTATGGAGACAGTAAATTAAACGTTATGTATTAGTTTTTAGCGTGCGGGCTTGGGAAGGATGCCGGCCCCATTTATTCCACAAACCTCCCGAGCGCCATGGCGATGACCTCTGGAAAAACGCAGGGCTCAGCTAATCCCAAAGATGTCAATCTCGAGGCCTCTTCTACATACACTCGCCGTTTAGATTAATAAACTGTCTATTTTTAAATTGCGTGTGAGCCCTTCCATGCTAAGTACCTCGCCGGCATGCCGAATGCAGCATGCGGGACGCCCGGTCACACGTCCCCCGCGCTGCGTTGGTGCATTTCATTTCCCCGAGCTGCGGGGAGCACGTCGCGTCTCCGGCCGCGGGGCTAGGACTGGCCCTGGGGCTGTCTGCCAGGAACTTGGCGCCGCTGGCTGCAATCAGCACACCTCGCTGCCCTGGCCATTCTGGGTTCGCCTGCATGTCCCGTCCTTTGAGCGGTATCTCCCAAACTTGCTCTGCTCACCCGGGTACCACCCTGGGGTACATCCCTTGGTCAGACTCTGGAGGGAGGGTGATGTGACATCCCCAAGGCTGCATCACCGAGCTATAACCCCCATCCAAGCCCAGGCTCCACACAGAGCAACGTACATCCCGAGCTGTCCTAAAGCTGCTCTTCCTGCATGTTAAATGACCGACGATCCCCAGGCTGCAGGGACCGGCACTGCCGCATCCCCTGAGGGACCTCGAGACAAGGAGATGGATTTGTTCCAGGCAGCGGAGGGGGGGAGCGGGGATGCTCACCATCATTTATCCAGGGTGAGTAACAAAGAGGGACAGGCCCAAAGCTGAAGCGCCAGTGCAACCTTTTTGGCACGTGGTGGCCTGGGAGAGGAGATGCCGAAGACTCGGTCCTGAGGCTTGGGAAGGGGCTGGCAGCTGGACGCGAGCATGCCCCGACGCTCAGCCCATTGCAGGAGTTTTGCTGCGCTTGTGATAGGGCCTAAAACAGCAAAGCCGGTGCTTAACGCACGGCACCGAATGCAAATGGAAACGGCCCCAGCCCAAGTCCTCTCCACATCTGTCACTCGCATCCCCGGGGCCCACCTCTGGCAACATCTGGCTCCGGCACCAGTCCTTGCGTTACCGCGTTCGTGGCGGAAGAGCCCTGAGAGTGCATCTGGAGCACTGTGCCCCCAAAATCCTACTGCTATGGCTGGGACTGTATCTTCCACCCCTGAAGCAGAAAGGGTCTGCAGCCAGGGACCGACCGGGCCAGCAGACCTGGTGACAGCACAGAGACCGGTGAAGCACGTGGGCAGACCGTGCTCCAGCCCTGCTCCCGCGCTGGGCCCCTGCCTTGTACGCGTGTGTTTTTGGGTAGCATGGTGGCACTAGGGGCCACCTCCATTGCCAAACCAAGCTGCATTCGTGTGGGAGCTGTGGCAGACAATGCACGTGGCCGGCGCTGGTGGGAGAAATCCAGTGTTTTGCGGGGGCTAACTCAGGCTCTGACTGCACCCCCCCCTAGCTCCCTCATGACAGGCTCATGGCAGACGTGACCTTGGCATGTGCGCAGACATGCGACCACCAAGTGGCCCAAAGCCCCTGGTTATGTCCACTGGGAACGGCAGCACTCACCCTGCCCTGCTGACACGCCCTGCTCACTGCCCCCATTTTTGCATGGGGAAACCACTTCCAGCAAGATCACACCTCCTCCCCAGTCCACTCCAACCCAGCACCTGATCTGCCCGGGGTCCCTACCCCATGCCAGGCCCTGGGTAGAGCCTGTTGCCCGGCCCCAGCGGTTTTGGAAAGCAAAGCCAAGGCTGCACACAACCAGCAGCGCAGCCTCGTATTTCTCACGCCCCTTTAAATCATCTCTCCGGCGGGAGAAAGGCGCTCTCTGCAGAGGTGATAAACCCTCCAAGGACCGGCCCCGGCATCCCACCTGGGGCGAGCTAAATAAAAAAAGGTCACCAGCGCTTTTTAAACATGGACAAAAAAGCAGTAAAATGTGTTTGGGAAAAAAAAAGCCGGCATTAAATCATGACTTTTTGCCTGGCTCGCCTCATTAAAAGTGGCCTTTTGGAAGGTAAAATTATCATTGTAAGTGATAAGATCTTTAAGAAAATAATTCACGGCTTCTTCACCCTTTAATATGATAGCCGCCACCGGCTAATTTTTTTCT